CTTCTCTCTTTCTATTACAATGTATGTGGATGTGTAAGGACCAATCCTGGAGGCAAAGTTGATCCAGGACTGGTTTAAAAGTGTAGAACTATACTTTGATGGAGGAAAGGATAAACCAGCAGGCGATTCAAGGGAAACGTGGCTGGTAGCCATCATCCCTTTCCTGGATCACAAAAATCGCCTCCTCATTTGTCCTCGTTGTCAAGCTGTTCTTAAAACAATGACAGGAGGAATTTTTATAAAATGCAAGTAATTCCTTTTGTACACATTTCAAAAATCCTAGTGGCTGCCAAGTCATTCCAATGAAAGGTCAGAGCTGTTGAAAAGTTTGATTAATCTCTACAAGACCTTTCTCTGTAGCCAGTTACCTCCTACTTCTCTTCCTCCTCTTCCCTCAATCCAGATAATCTGGGTTGCTCATTGTTCTTCAGCTATGCTGGGCATTCCTCTGTCATGGCCAAGCGTCTGTTGCTGCTGCTGCTTTGCATGATTTTTTTCCAGACAGCTATAGATTTTACGTTTCTCTCTCTCCACAATTTGAGTCAGCTGCTGTGCTCTAGGTGTGGCCTTTTCTTGACCATGCTATTTGCTTTAGATACGAACTTCTGAAAACTTAGCCTTCTTTTCCTTTTATTTTTCTCCTCAAAATTTATCATTCTTTTTGTAACTTAGTCTTCCCTCATTAGCCTCTCCATTTTGTTAATTACTATAAATTTCACATCTAAAAATTTTCATGGCATGGAACAATCACTCAATATAAGCTTGTGGGAGCTGCACACTGTTGGCAGTATTAGATTTAATTTCTGGATCTCACTAGTTTCAAGCAAATGACACAAGTTTAAAGGAGAAAAATTTGCATGTCTGTAATTAATGAAAAATGCAGGTTCTAGATTATCTCTTAGATGTTTTTAAGAAGTCATGGAGAGAAGAAATCCTGAAGAACGGTGCTTTCTACGGTGAAGGGTGCTGATATAAGAAAATAGGACCAAAGCACATGATTCAGGGAAATTCCCTGGAACTCTTCTGCGCTGCTATTTCTGTTCTTTCACCATGTGGCAGTGTTCCGATTTCAGCTTCTGGAACTAGATTTATGATTCTCTTGAAGAATTTTTGACAATTATTTGGCCCCATGGTGCACTTTGGATCACACATAAGTCCTGCAGAATTGCCAGTATGTTCTCTTGTGGTTTGGACCTTCAAATAGGTTTTTATTTTTGCCAGATACCATCTTGCCAAATTGTTCTGTGGTACACAACAAGATAATTTTATTTGTGTTTGCCAAAAGGAAAGTTTCTCCACAAAGAATAGTTCTTAATGATTATTTACTTTTCTCATTTTATGACGAAATACCTGGCAGAAACTACTTAAAGGGAAACCACAGGGTTTCATAGCGCTTTCAGTCCACCACCGTGGGTATGGTCTGGTGGGGCAGCTGTGGTCTGTAGTAGTGGGAGCAGGAGACAGAGGCTTCTCACATATTGGTACACCAGGAAGCAGAGACAGCCAGACTGGATCCAAGGACAGATAAAACCTTTCAAGTCCAAGGCCCAGATCCCTACTTCTGCCAGCCAGGCACTACTACCTTAAGGCTTCACAGACTTCAAAACAGCGCCATAAGCTGGGCACTGAGTCTTCAAAATTTGAATCTGTGGAGATTATTCCAGAGCAAAACCATGACGTGACAGAAGTAGTAGTTAGAAGTTGGTCCATATAATCAATAGTCAAATGTCTTTTTCTACCCATTTCTAAGAAATATATTAACATTAAAGAAGAATACAGATTTTAAGACTTGTTTGTAGTACGTTGAGTAAGTATGTTAAACATTACTCCAAAATTTAGAAGGAAAGAAGTTATTACAACTAAATCATAATGGCAGCTAACATTTACTAAGTACTCCCCCCCCCAGGCTGTCTCCAGATTTATTACATTTACAGTCTTTTTCAACACCTTGTTTCTTTTTTACTTATGTTTTATTAATTGAGAATTTCATACATGTATACAACGTGTTTTGAGCAACTCCACCTCCCATTCCCTCCCCTCCAATTCCTCAGTCACCCCCACTATTCCCTCCCAATTTCTTGTGTTCTCTTCTTTTTTCTATTACTGAACCCTCAGAGTCTGCTTAGTGCTACCAGTAAGTGCATGGGCATAGGGCCATGTACTGACACATGCGAACCTCTCAGGGACCACATCCCTGAAGAAAACTGACTGTCCCTCTCCCAGTGGCCATCAATCGTCCACTCAGTTAGGGGCCAGACTTCCTGAATCCCACTTCCCTCCACGTTGGGATTTTGTCTGACTTGATCTTGTAAATGCTGTCACAGCTGCTGTCAGCTGTTACGTTCAAGAGACTCATTGTGTCTAGAAAACACTGTTTTGTTGTGGTCATCCACTGCTTCTGGCTCCTACAGTCTTTCCACCCCTCTTGCATGATGATTCCTGAGACTTGGGAGTAGGGTATGATATAGAGGTCTCCTACCGGACTAAGTACTTTACAATCTCTTTTCTTTGTGCTTTGAAGCATACACATATACACACATAAAAATAGTTTAAATGGAATTACTCTATAATGGGAGGTGGGCAATGTCTCTCCCAGACATCATAGGCCATCAGATAAAAGACACAGGGTCAGGAATGGGTTAACTCTTTTGGAGCTATTGATCAGTGCAGTCCCATATTCCCCAAAGCATTATAAGCTATTGCCATTGTTCTTGGTTATCTTCCAGTTCGTGAAGGTGAGATCTTATTCCTGAGGATACCACATACTTGAGTCATGAAACATGGAGAAACTAAGTTAGTAGTGACCTGGAAGGTTTATCCCTACCGGTGAGCTTTCCTAGTATTTGAAGGTGCTATTCTTACTACCAGGGGAAAAGAGTAATCATCAGTCTTACCAAGCTTTAAACCCTCCAAGCTGCAATAAAGGCTGACCTGGGAAGTTATGTCCACTGGTGCAATAATGGGATGGATATTATGGGAAGAGCCAACTACTTTCATGATCTAAGGCTCACACCACAAAACAAGAACCCTCCCTAGGTATGTCCTAGGCCTTAAGGGCAAACCTGTTTCTATTATTCTGCTAAAGGGACATAGCATTAAACCAGCTCCTAATGACTTATCATTATACCCATCGCTAAGTGCATCTCTCAACATCAATGAAGTTTCTGACAGGAGATGATGATTAACACAGAGATCTACTAAGGACTTTCTATCGTAGTCGCTCCTAAGTGATTTTTTTTTTTACTTGCATCGTTCTAACAGAATGAGGTTAATATTATTTTTCAGAGAAGAAATGAGATCAAAGAAGTAGGAAGTCAAATAACTCAAGCACATCCATGAAGGAATAGGCAGAATGGAACAAAACCTCCAGGAAGTCTGTGTTTTTAACTACTTGCTTCCTTTTAACTAAGTGCTTCCTTTCTAATAATCCTTCAGGCCAACTCTGACTTTAACCTGGTTTTGAATCATTAAATATGATATACTCTCATTTGCGTTCTTCCTTTTAAGAATCTGTCAAGAGAGTTCCAAGCCAGCCCAGCTGGGCTACAGGGAGACCTAAAGGAATCTATAGAGGTTATGATTATATAACCTTATATATTTATAGTTCTCTGCTCAACTTGTGGTTATTATGCTGGTAAAATCCATAATCTTCAATCATTCAAATTAAAAAAAATATTGAAACAAATGGGAAAATGAGTTATATACATTTATTATAATTTTCATATAAATTGAATTTTCACTACATATCTAAGGCCATAGAATTAGAAATACCAAAGAAGAAAATTCTAAAGCTAAAGAAATGACATTAAAAAAAATTAAAATTTCTCCTTTGCACGTGTTCTTCTTGGTTCTCTTTTGGTGGTCTTAGTCAGCTTGTAACTGCTCTTACAGCTTGTCAAAGACTGAGAAATTATACAGAAAAGAAATTAATTTCTCATATTTGGCGGGTTTAGAAGTCTGACCTGGGTTCCAACAAGTCAGGTCCTACAGTGGAGATGCTTCTGGGTTGTAGGTTTCTGAGTTTGCGCTGGCCTCTTAAACAGTAGAAACAACTCTTTAAACTAAAGGCAGCTCTAACACCACTATGCGGTCCACTCTGATGATCTAATTACTCACCAAAGGCCTCAGCTCCAAATACTACTACATGGATGACAGCAACACATGCATCTGAAGTGACATGAACATTCAATCTACTGCTCGAACCATCATGCAAAGGAAATGTCTTTCATAAAGAAATGTGTTTTCTTGACTGGTGCACAGCTTGATAAAAACCAAGGTTATAATATGGAAAAAAATGAAAATTGTACATAAAATTGAATTGAGGGGCTGGAGACATGGCTGGAGAGAATTGAGAAATGGCTCAGTGGTTAAGAACACTATCTGCCTTTGCAGAGGACCTGGGTTTGATTTCCAACATCTACATGGCAGCTAAAAACTATCCATAACTCCAGTTCCAGTGGATCCAGTGCTATCTTCTGACCTCCAAAGGCATTGCATAACATGGGTGCACTTACACACATGCAGGCAATACATTCATACACATAAAAAAATAATCGAATTGATATCCTGAAAAACATAATTTTAAAGAGAAAGTAAAATCGAATAGCTGCAAGAGCCAAGCTGTATCAGAAGAAAAATTGAGCCCAGAAACAGAGACAGTAAAACAAGTGCTATACATTGGATGTGTAAAAAGCATTTTCACAGAGAGAGAAAATTGATTGCCAGAGCTCATTGACCCATGGTCAGAGTGAATACATTTAACAGCCAGCCTTTTAAAAGCCCCACTTTCTACAAACCTGCCATGCGTCAAGGTCTCGTATATATGATGCTAATTTCAACTTTTGTGGGAATTCCGGGTAATTCCGAGGCCCAAGAAGATACCTCTTTGAGTTGTGTTTACTGGTTCTTCACATTGGGGATCAACTGTCTGACCATTGCTGTCTTCTGCCCACGTTCACTGTGTTTTCCTCTGTGTGTATGTGTGTGTGCTTGTGTTGCAGAGAAGGCCAGCAGTCGCCAGAACAGTGGCAGAAGATGTATGGGAGATGCTCTGGAAACGAAGTCTATCACATTGTTTTGGAAGAAAGTACATTTTTTGCTGAATATGAGGGGAAGAGTTTTACCTATGCTTCTTTCCATGCCCACAAAAAGTATGTTTCTGCTTCTAGAGTAGAAATAAAATATCAGCCAGTCAGCCAGCCAGACCATGTAAAGACCTTTCCAAAATATAGCCCATCTTGGTGCACATGGGATTCGAGTATTTTGAAATTTTTAGCATAACTGCTCTGTTTGAACTCTGAGAACATTGCCATTTCTATAAGTTGAAATTATCAGAAGAAAAATATGATTTATAAAGACTTTACTAGATCTTAACCTATTGTTTTATCATTTGCTTGCCAATTAAGAATTTGAAACCACATAAATATCAATCTCATATACAGAAATAATGTTTAAAATATTGTTCAGGTTTTTTATATTTTTCTAAAAGTAACAGTAAAGCTATGTAGCAAAAACAGAAAAACAAAATTCCCCTTTGGTTTTTTTGAGGCAGGGTCTCATGTAACTCAAGCCAGCTGAGACTCACTGTGTGGTCGAAGGATGATCTTGATTTCTGATTTCCCTACTGCCACCTCCCAACCACCACTGGCAAGCAATAAAAATAATAAATAAATAAATAGATAAATAAATAAAGTTTAATTATAACACTTCCATTGTCCAAAAAGAATGTTAAAAGTAAATGATACTATGTACACATTGAATTCAGAGATGGAAACTTTCTAATTTTGTTTTTGACAAAATTGATTTCCTAAGAAATAAAAAACTGGACTGGAGAGATGGCTCAGGGGTTAGGAGCACTGGCTGTTTTTGCAGAGAACCCGGGTCTGAGTCGCACCACTCACATGGCAGCCAACAACTGTCTGTACTCCAGTTTCAGGGTATCCAACGCCTTCTTCTGACCTCCCTGGGCATTGCATGACATGGGCCCACTTACCTACATGCAGGCAATACACTCATACACATAAAATAAAAATCAATAAAATATTTAAAAAAGAAATGAAAATACTGTATCAAGAAAACGTCTATATTACAGCATATTAATACAACATTTTGGGGATTTACATTAATATTCCAGTAAACTAATGTATATTACACTCAACTTTAATGACCAATGGTTCTAGTTATGTACATTTACTACATAACATATTTTAAAATTTGTTTTATTCTATGAAATTTTAGATGAATTAAAACAAAACCTATTGGAGTATAACCAAAAAGGTATTAAGAAATATTTAAGTACAATATTAATAATAAAAGTTCACAGCTTTAGGTTTCTCCTATTTAACATGTACAACCATTCAAGACTATTTAAAAATGTTTCTTTAAAATTCAAAATATATGATGCGTGAGAGAAATGGAACCAAGGGATATTTGGAGACCTTTGTTCTCTACAAGAGTTTTTACTTAAATCCAATAGTTTGCAAACATTTTGAATAAGGTAAGAAATATTGTATATATTCTTGACAGAAGTAATTATTTCAAAAATTATAAAATATTACCTCTATAACATGATATGTTGTCTAAATTTTATATTCTATCATTTGTCATTCATATACACTCAATGTTTGTAATCAACTGAATTGATTTTATGGACATATTATTTCCTTGTAACAATGAGATTCTTAAACTTTAGGATCCTCTCTTACTCATAATTCTGTTGTTTCTTTCATATTGCCCTGCCAGATTGTAATTGACTAATTTTCTTACAAATATAAACTTAGAAAATAAGTTAAGACCTTTTCTGAATTATAATTCTTGAACTCTTATATTCTTCTTTTAAATTAAGGTTTGGTGTCTGCTTGATTGGTGTTAGGAGGGAGGATAATAAAAACATTTTGCTGAATCCAGGTCCTCGATACATTATGAATGCTTCAGACATATGTTTTTATATTAATATTACCAAAGAAGAAAATTCAGCATTTAAGAACCAAGACCAGCAGAGAAAAAGCAATGTGCCAAGGTCATTCTATCACGGACCTTCTAGGTTGCCTGTGCATAGCATCATTGCCAGCATGGGTGAGTATAAGCTGCGAGATGTTTCTTTACTCATATTTGTCTTTAAAGATGATCATAAGGCTACAGGTGTGTGCCACCATGCCCAGCTTTTTGTTATGTAAATTAAGAGACTTCTACTTCATACACTTTAGGATTTTCAAGTTGCATATATACATGACCATTTTCACGTATTTACGTACTATTTACAGAATACATGGCGACTCCTCGATACTTCTGTGTTTTATTCACCTTGTGTGTTTTTTGATAGTAAATAAAGAAATATTAGTCATGGAAGTTTGGGATGTTCCTGTTGACTGTGAAATTTCTGACACTTCCTAAGATGAGGAATGGCTTAGGATTGGTGGCTGACATTTTTTTTTAAGCATTATGTTTTCTCTAAAATAAGGATGCTGTGATATTCCACAAGATTGGATGGAAAAGCAAAGGCTTTCTCCTGTTTTTGTTTCTAGCTTATCCCAATTAAGAACTAGTTTTTACTGAATTAGAATACATTTTTCTTAGAGAATTTGCAATTGTGTATTTAATTCTGTTTTCTTCAGTAAACTGTGGAGTTTTGTAATATAAAAAAGATCATAAATATATTTCCATTTTATTAAAAGGTCATAGTCAAATTCAAACTTTGCACATGTATATTACACACTATATATGATTAGATAATATATAACTAAATTTTTGTACTGTTATTGAGGCTAAAAATAAGCAAGATTTCAGTAAAAAAGATTTCCAAAATCTTATGTTTCAGAATATAAGTACCCGGCTTGCATATTTCTCTTGTAAATTATCGGTTCAATGGCAAACCTGAGTTGTCTCCAGAATTCTCTATTTTTGTCAAAACTCTGATTCCATCTTACTCTTCTCATTGACCTTGGATTCTTTAATGCAGAAATTGAAATAATATATGTCCAGTTAAAATGAATTTTATTTAAAATGTCCACCAAACCACCAACAAATCTATAGATAGATACTTTTTGTCATAAGGAATATATGTTCTTCCTCTTACATAATTCTGTTGCCTTCACTTATGCTATGAGCCCACTCTTGCGAACCTTGTTCTAGATTTCACTTGAACTCAATTCTCATCTTCAGTATTTAGCTTCACGTTTGTGCCCTAAGTCACAGGCTGAAATTGCTGCCATCTGCCATCCATACCCAACCCAATGCATAGGCACACAACTCCGCGATTTGAATCTCCACAATTCTTCCAAATAGTTATCTGTAGCTTAAAACCGCATTACCCTTAGCTAGATCTCTGTGAGATTGAGGCCAGCCTGGTCTACAGGAGCTGTGGCTACAGGGAGACCCTGTCTCAAAAAGACAAAAATTGAATTACCCTTGTTTTTGCACTTCTTTCATCTGCAGTTGTGTCTGAAACTATTTTGGTAAGATTCATGGCTATGTCAGTGTTTGCCTGTGTTAGGAAATAAAACCAAAGAGGTAGTTGGGAGTGATGTGCAGTCAGATATATTGGCAAGGTGGTTATGAAATGACCACTGTCCCCAAGAAGGAAGAGGGGCTTCAATACACAGTACAGGGTTAGTTTTACATAAAGAGATATGTATATTGTAATCTAAGTAGAAATAACAGAGAGTTTGATGGGTTTCTCATTTTGCTTTGGTGCCAGACTTTGAAAAAATTCTTACATGATGAATTCTCCTTTCTTCCATCCAGGACAAATAGATGACATGATCATCTATGGTGTTCAAATATGGTAGATATGAACTCCAGCCCAAAAGACATGTCTTTCCTTTGCTTTTATAAATCAACTTTATGAACTCCAAATGAATGAAATCCCTTACATGCTTAATGAAAACCTTGTCATCCCCTCTAGAAAACTTTTACCCTTGCCCACCTAGACAGGGATTGAGCACATCTATGCCTGTGGCTACTGGTGACCACCATCATTATTATAACCCAGACCCCAGAATGGATGAATGCTGATCCTCATAGAAGGACATTCCACAAGACCTACCCTTTTAAGCCCTCCCACAACTTCACACATCTCTTCTATGGACCAAGCCTTTGTTGCCTAAACACACTTCTAAATTGTGGTTTACACTTTTGTACACAAGATTTCTTATCCAGTGAAACATATAGATAAAAAAAGAAGCAAGTAGCACTGAAAACTCAAGAAACTGTAGATAAATAGATACACAGATTTGTATATCTCTTGATGATATTGATTGTATTTCATTAGTTTGTAGCATAAGGTGATCACTATGTCATGTAGATTACAAGTGCCCTGATGGAGTTTCATATTTCATTGTTTTAGGTACTGTGGCTATAGATTTGCAAGACACAAGCTGTAGATCAGCAAGTGGTCCTACACTGTCTCTTCCCACAGAGGGAAGCAAAGAATTAAGAAGACCTAGCATTGCACCTGTTTTAGAGGTTGCAGATACATCATCAATTCAAACATGTGATCTTCTAAGTGACCAATCAGAAGATGAAACTACTCCAGATGAAGAAATGTCTTCAAATTTAGAGTAAGTTTAGATTCTCTATGGTGTTTTGTGTTACAGGCCCTTACAAATAGGTAAGGGGACCATGTTCTTACTCCTGGAGAGCCTAGAATCATTCCTTCATAGTTCCACCAGAACAGTCTTCTACCAATTACTCTCTCAAGCACAGAATATTTGAAGATGTCATGTGCCTGCCTTACTCATAGACTTTCAGCCCAATTTTTTTTCTCTAAAGTATCCCTTATCATTAAAAAAAAGAAAAATACAAATTTACTTCTATGACATATAAAATGCTATTTCCCAATTGTATTTTATTATATTGTACATCTACCTTTATTTTTTTTGTATTCCACATCCATTTTGAAGTTTGTATTAGTTACTTTTCTTCTTGTAACAAGATCAAAAGTAACTTAAGGATGGGAGGATTTATTTTGGCTCAGAGTTTGAATGTCAAACTCCGGAAGGAAAAGCACGGTAGTATGTGTTAGCTAGTCACATGTGCATTCAGAAAGCAGAGATGGGGTTGAGTGCGGGTCCTCAGCTGACTCACCTTTACATTCAGTCTAGGACCCCAGCCACTGGGATAGTACTGCCCATATTCAGGATGGTCTTCCTATATCAGTTAAGCTTCTCTGGAAACACACAGACACACCAGAGATGTATTTTTTAAGTGGTCCAAAGTGATTGCCTTTCAAGTGGATAGGCAAGATTAACCACCATGAAGTTCAACTAGTTATGCAATGACATGTTCAGACTCCTCCATTAAACTTCTTTGCTTATTCCACTATTTAGCACCCTTTTTCATTTACTACCCATACTCTCATGGCATCTACCTATATAGTATTAATCACATTTAAGCCTGCATTAGGTATTGTTTACATGCTGTAGTTTCCACATTACATTGCCTTAGCAAAGCAGAAAGTAAAGTGGTCCACAATCTTGACCCTGCTGTCTCAAGGACTTTGCCATGCCGGTTTTATCTTATGCTACTTGTTTACAAATAAGTAATTAAACAATCTGACTACAGTTTTTTACCTGTAGATTGTGTATAATTATCATCTCACTGTTTACAGGAAGATTCACTGAGGTAAAGGAGAAAAAGTGTTATGACAATGTTTTGTGCCGAGAAACCCGTAATCATTTGTTAGTATAAATAGTATTGCTGGTAGTAGTGGTATTGATGAAGTTATCCCCATTTTTCACAGTATCTTTCATATACATCCACTTAATACTAAATTAAATTAAAGCAGAGTTACCAATTCAATCAATTAAATGTTTTCCACACTTTTCATTTGTTACAAAATTACTTTAATGCACTATAGACAAAAATCTTCTCTCAAAGAAATCTATGTTTCAAACGATCAAGTTGATTTGTAGAATACATAATGGGAACACTAGAACACTGGGCAAACATCTGTGCAAGAAATGGTGTTTTGAATTGTGACTGGAATTCTTTTTTTGGAAGAAGGGCAAGGTCTCCTTGTAGCCCTACCTTGCCTGGAACTCACGATGTAGACAAGGCTGGACTCAGTCTCACCGAGATCACCTGCCTGTGCCTCCCTAGTGTTGGGATTAAAGGCGTGTACCAGGATGCCGAGCTCTGAAATTCTTTTTTTAGACTTTAAATAAGAGAAGCTTTTTTTTTTCTATAAAACTCAGAGATACTGAAATAATGGTGATTGCCAGTTTCTAAATTTGTAAAATGTGCCCTATTCGACCTCTGAACCAGTGATGTCCAGAAAATAGTTTTAACATGGCCTCAAACTCATGGTATCAAAGATAAAATGATTAACATGTAAGAGCTTCCTTTTGAATAAGAAAAGTTTTCTTCTAATTTTTTTTTAATTTCCTAGTTAACGTTAATGCTTCTGTTTTCTAAAAGTTCCATGTTCCTCACTGATATAGCCAAAATGTACAGGTGGCTGTGTTGTAAAGTCAGTAAACAAATTAAATGTCTTTGATAATATTTTAAGAATGATTCCAGCAAAAACCCTGCTTTTAACTAATTAACCCACTTTTAGCTAAGCATACACAGCTGATGAATATTGATACAGTGAATGATTAGAATGAATTCTGCTTTAAACACACTTTACAAAGCACAGCACTGCTATTTTTTAAGGATACATGTTTGTGTCTCCAGAGATGGGGTTTGGGAAATGTTTTCCATAAAGAAACATCTAGCAAATATTTATAATCCTCCACGCAGCAACACATTTCTTTAGTTGAAAAACAAGTACACACTCACAGATTTCACATGTGGAGAAGAAAGAAATGTCCAAACGAAGCTGTATTAATGCTGTACAATTCAAACTTCATAGAATGTTCACATGTCCAAAAGTATTATTTTAAAAGTATTTTAACCATTTAAGACTATACAAACCACTCTAGATTTCAAAACTTTGTTATGAGTCTTAATTGATCACTGGCCATAATTCACCTATCATTTCTTAAACTGTCTTTTTTATATGATTGCAGCATGGTTACTCATTCTAATTTAATCCAGCAGTGGAAGAGGATTGTAACAGATGTCTCCAGCTTTGTGTGAACTCTTCAGGAGTAACATCTCATGTTGTTTTTCAGGTATGCCAAAGGCTACCCACCTTACTCTCCATATATAGGGAGTTCTCCCACTTTTTGTCATCTCCTCCAAGAAAAAGTGCCCTTTTGCTGTTTAAGATTAGACAAGGTAAGCATTTCTTGTTGTAGCCATTTTCATAAATAAAGTAAAATATTTTAAAGGATATTATCGTCACACATAAATTTGATTATGTAGTTTGTTTTACTTTTTATTTCTGCTAAAAATTACTCCAATACTCTATCCTTCTACCTAATTCACCATATCAGTTAGTTACATTGCTTTTAAGAGCATGATAGAGGCACACAAGGCTCAAACCGGTGAACCATAAACATCCAAAGTCTTCCAAAGTCACTATATGCGTTATTTAATCACTATGCCTCAAATAATTCTTAAATCTAGATTTTAATAAATAATCTCCTGACCTGATGAAATTTGAAATGTATTGATGATTAAGTTGGAAGCTAACCTAAGAGTCTCGCCTAGTAGCTCCTGTAGTTCTCTCTTCTTATCCGGATGTTTTAAAGAACATTCTCAAAACAGAAACAGTCTGAGAATGTGAATATTTTCATTTTTGTCTTTGAGTTTTTCCTCCTGAGGAAAAAGGAACCATTTCGCAGAACTTTGAATACACTCTTGAGATTCAAGTGTGCCACAAACCCTAATGAGGGATTCCATCTTTTCATCTTCATCTGGGGTTAGAGTCATAATACCAGCTCTCTTCTCCTAATCCGTGCAAATTGAGCTACTCCCTTTACAAACTGTTCAATTCATCTGAAGATGACTATAATTTTAATGCTATGAATTTCATGATGTTCTTAGAGGGATTATTTTAACCAGTATTTTAATGTAAGACATTTAATAACTGAGTTGGTGCTGAATTTATTTCATTAATATTCTTTTTATTTTGACGTTGTTATGAACTTTGTTGTTATTTGGGAGGAAGAAGATTGAGAGAGCATTAGTAAACTGATGGTTTTATCTCTCTGAAGTTCTTCAGTGCATCTTTGTCTTTCTCCTAAATATTCCCTGTGGACCCACTACCATGGATGATTCTATTTGCGATGTCCTTATTTTACTTTAATTTTTGAAATATTTGATACTTATGGTCAGCTATATATTTTAAAAATATTTTACTTATTTATTATTTTTATTTTATGTGTATGAGTGTATTGCCTGCATGTATGTACATATACTTATATCATGTAATGCCCGTATCGCACAGTGCCCAAGAAGGTCAAAGAGGGTGTTGGAACCCTCGGAACTGGAGTTAAGGACTATTGTTTGCTGCCATGTGGGTGCTGGGAATCGAACCTGGATCCTCTGCAAGATCAGCCAGTGCTCTTAACCACTGAGCCTTTTCTCCAGTCCCTCAGCTATGTAATTTTGATAAATTAACTAACGCTAAAATTTAGTTATTTACCTGCATTAACTCCTTCTGCAAATATATTTTCCTTGACTTGCTCTTTTTCATTTAATATTATTTTTGATGATTTATAATTTTCCTTCAAGATGACTCCTAACATAGAATGCAGTTAGGGACCATGACACCTGGACTCATTTCTAGTGGCTTTCACTACTTTTTCATGTAGTTAATAATCTATAAGCAATGAACCCAATTCTAAGGCTCAGCTTTCAGAAATGAGGATTTGGGAGTGCGTGGTCAATAGAGATTTTTGTTGTTGTTGTTCTTTTTGAAGCAGGGTCTCCTTGTAGTCTCAGCTGCCTGGAACTCACTATGTAAACCAGACTGGCCTTGAACTCACAGAGATCCGCCTGCCTCTGCCTCCCAAGTGCTGGGATTAAAAGCGTGCGCCACCACGCCCGGCCCAAATAGAGAATTTTTAAAACCAAAAGTTTAATAATATCCTTTGACTTTGTTAATAAATCAAAATTATATAGTGCTCTTGGTTGGTGGCTGTAGTTGAGAATTTGGTTGTTTAGGTAGCATGAGGCCAGTGGACATAGTCTTCTATGAAAATGAATGCCTTCTTGAGATGGGATCATTCACTTGGCTCCCCTATGTGAAGTTTCCAAGTTGAGACCACATTATGCCCTCTATCCCACTGTCAGCTGACTAGTGTCAAATAAAAATATTTCTCCGCGCTGCCATCTGCTTTATCTCTATGGATTTCATTGATAAATAAACATCTGCATCTTCATATGCATAACAGCTCTTTAACCTGGCCATATTGCATCTGTGTTGAAGTGCTAATTGTTCTCAAGGTGAGCCCATCACTCTCCTTTCACTCCTTTTTCTTAGCCATCTTGTTTCTTCATGTGACGTCAGACTCTGCATATTAATACTAACAATACCCCAAAAGCCTTCTCAATGAAGACTTACTGCCCTTGTTCTTCAATACTCTGTATTCTTTCTCTTCCTTTAGACCTTTTTTTCTGGATTTATTTTCCTGCTGCTCATTTTCCAACCATTAGTTTCTGTTAAAGGAATGTTGTTGAGTTTTTCTTTTTCGATTGCATTTTCCTCGGGAATATCCTTCTTTTGCAGTCATTCTTGACTGCTAGAATCCATCAGTCTAACTACTACTCATTGTAGCTAATGTCTCTTATCTCAGTGACTGACTTTAAGATAGCATTTTCTTGGCCAGTCTGTATTTTCATAATGATGTTCATAATTACGCATTTCTCTTCATTCACTTAGAATTAGGATTCATTGACTTGCCTGAGGATTTTGGAGTTTGTCACTTTATGAGAATCCTCAATCATTTATTTAAATAAGGCTTTTTTTCTGATTGTGAATTCTTTTTTAGTTGTTATGTTAGGTATTCTCAAAATATCTTCCAGGCATTTAACTTTTTCCACTAGCTTTTCTTTTTCTCTTCCTGCAGTTTGTTTTAACTCTGTTCTGCAAATGATCCCTTCAGCTGGATTGCATGTGCTAGTTAAATGAGTTTTCTTTCAGTTTTAGAGATCTGAATCTACGTGTTACTTGGCCTAGGAAAACACTCTTGTCTATCACTGAGCTGTATCTCCAGCCCTAAGTTATCTTTGCATTATCTTGCTCAATTTGAAAAGATATATGGAAATAGATACAATAGTTTTTTGTTTTGTTTTGTTTTTTTCTGTCTTTTTGAGACAGGGTCTCCCTGTAGCCCCAGCTGTCCTGGAACTTACTATGTAGACAAGGCTGGCCTTGAGCTCACAGAGATCAGCCTGCCTCTGCCTCCCGAGTGCTGGGATTAAAGACATGAGCCAACACAACTGGCAGTAGATAAAATAGTTTTAAATAACTGCCTTGGATATTTTAAATATGATATTTTCTTATTCTTAAATGACTTCTGTTGTTTCCTTAAACATATTTTCTAAATCTAGTAAGAGCAAAATCTGTAGTCTTGCAGGTCTAATTTTTTTTTTTTTATCATTTCTTTTTGCTCATGGTGCTTTGTTTCCAACATGATTTTTTATAATTTTTATTAAGGAATAATGGCAAAGGATATTCCAGAAGTAATGAACCCGTAGGGTACTAACTCACATCTACCCAAGAATATAAAAGAAATCCATGTAGAGGCATATAAAGATGAAATAAAAGAACACAAAAGAGGAAAGTTCGTCATGCAGATAATTTAGCTTAAAAACAGTCTTGATTTAGTAATATTTGTTAAATTCTCTTGAGTCTGACCACTCAGGAAATAGCAGCAATTCTTGCAGCAATTTGTTCTCAGTCCAGTGATAAGATGAACTTTGTTCATGCAATGTGATTGTTTTTTGTGTTGTTATTTCACACTTTTGACAGCTCAGCTATGCATTTAAATAATTTAAGCTTTTTGTCTGTATTACTTTCTTTTCTCTTCGTTCACATTAAGTGTTCAAGGTTGGGAATATTAAGAGACTTGTTTAATCATATCACTCTGTTGTGGAAATGGAAATCATATGTATTTTCTTTATCAAAATAGATACTCAGTGACTGTATAGCAACAACTTTTAACCTATAGTACAATAAGCACATGTATCCCCTTTCAACATGAAGTTGTATGTTTATAACTCATCTGCCTTCTCCGTGCAACATTTTCATTTCCTGCCTCAAGATGAAAAACTGGCCAAGAAAGACAAATGTATCTGTATTCAACTCTGTTAGATAATTAGTTAGATTAGTTTTATATAACTATATATCCTGAATTATTTCACCAACTTTTAGTGGAGTATAAAAATGGCATTTCTTTGTATAATTTTTCTTCTCTAGAGTTGCCAGCATAACTACTATGAGGACGCAAAGGCCTATGGATTCAAAAATAAACTAATTATAGTTGCAGCTGAAACAGCTGGAAATGGATTGTATAATTTTATTGTTCCTCTCAGGGCATATTATAGACCAAAGAAAGAATTAAATCCCATAGTTCTGCTATTGGATAACCCGTAAGTATATTTTAAAATACACAAACAAGACAGAGCTTTTAATTATATTATGTACCTTAAAATACTTAAATTTGCTGGTAGTACTTTAAATCAGATACATTATGGTACACAGTTCTTCAGGAGATAGAGTCTATACTGTGATGCAGAATGTCATTGACTATGTTGCGCAAATACTATTTAGAATATCATTGGGATTGAGAATTTATTTGAAATTATTATGCAAATCTTCATAGCACCAGAGGAAGGAATCCACTGAAATAAGTAGTGCTAATTTCCTCAAGTTTATCAACAAGCCTGGAAGGCGTCTGCCAAAGCTGGACAGTTTGGTTGTGTTTAGAGGACTGTTAGTTATCAGAGAAGCATTTCTTGACCCACCTTTTTATGTTATTCCATGGAGCATCATCATGTGTGATTGTGCTACTCTTAGTATGCACATACTATGACACAAGTAAGGTATGCTGTATCACGTGTTTATTTTGAGAGTTTTGAATTGACTTACTTTGTTAAATGTCTACTTAAGTATTTTAAAAAATTTGCAAAAATATATAGGTTACTGAATAACATGGTCAAAGCCATTTTATCCTGAAGTTATAATGCCCCTCTCTTTGGCTATAAATAAATAGAAGGCTGTCTTTTATTAATAATATATTTTAGAATTCCTTCACTTTTCATTCAGCTTAATGTGATACAAATTTGAGAATTAATTGAATGAGGATAAATTAGTTTCCTTTTCTCTGCCTTTAAAAGTACACACACACACACACACACACACACACACACACACACACACAAAATCCTTTCTCAAAGTAGACATTTTTCCCAATATATTCTCAGTTGATGGTATTGGTTTCTCTGAATATACCAATATTAAAACATTCATTTATGTGTCTTTCTAGCAATATCTTCACAATGGTTCTGAAAAATTTAGCACTCTTGCAGAATTTTCAGTTGAACAGTTTTCCATACCTCTTTGGCATTGAAGAAAGGGAAAGCATATTTAGGGTAGGCGTGGGGCAACAGAAACTTGGACCCAGTGTTAAAAGAAATTAAAGCATCTGAAAACAAACCTTTGGAGAGTAACAGTTGGGGTGTAGGATGGCCATAACAGTAGAGTGATTGCCACTCTTCTCCCAGGACTTTTCAACACAGTCTTAATTGCAAAACTTCTCTAAGAGAAGCCACATGAGTATAGCTAAGCTGGCATAGCAGTGGTTCAGTTAACTAAGCCAAATTTGGCAGAGTTGGACTTTTTGTGTTTATGTGCCACTACAGAGAGATTTTTAAGATGGGAGTATTTACAAACTGTCTTAGAGTGGGCTCATCATGAAATGACATGGATCAGTATTGAAATAATGCAAAGAAGAATACAGATTCCTCCCCACTCTGTCTTGATTCCCCTGCACCCTGACCAGCTACATTCTTGCCCCTTGCTGTCTTCTTTCCTGTCTTGGGCCTAGGCCCCCCTCCTGCTCATCCCACCTGAGGCCTGTGGACTAGCATCCTAATCCAGACTTCGCTCACTGTTTCTTGATCACCCTGCACCCAGACTAGCTACATTCTCTTGTTTCAGGGTCCACACCTACTCTGCCTTGCTATTTAGACCTTCCCCAGCTATATCTGAGATTACAGAAAGAAAGACAGGAAGAATCATTGAAAGATAGATTTTGAAGTATGTTCATAATATCCTCTGGTAAGGCTCAGGCAAGACTATCCCGTCCCTTCATAATATTTGTGTTTTGCATTGTTGTTTGGGTATATCTTTTTGGGATATCTATTTTGGTTGTGTGTATGATAGGAAATTCTAGTTTTCTTTTGTTTAGTTGAAATTCAGTTTTGTTTATATTGTTGATGTAGCATGGATGCTTTCTGGTTAAGTATGAACAGTTAGTTGGACTGTGCTCAGGTTCTCATTTTTGATATTTTGTTGGTGGTACAGGATAGTCAGGAGGTCTCAGAAAGGAAGATCATGACAGAACCTATGGCCAAGGGGAGGAGTAGCTGAGGAAGGTCCAATTAGCAAGGCAGAGTAGGTACGGACCCTGAAGCAAGAGAATGTATCTAATCTGGATGCAGGGTGATCAAGAAACAGTGAGTGAGATCTGGATTAGGATGCTAGTCCATAGGCCTCAGGTGGGATGAGCAGGAGGGGCCTAGGCCCAAGACAGGAAAGGAGAAAGCAAGGGGCGAGAATGTAGCTGGTCAGGGTGCAGGGGAATCAAGGCACAGTGGGCAGGCATCTGTTCTCTTCTTTATGTTATTTCAAGATAAAATTTTGAGTCTTGATATATAACTCTTCCCCCACCCCAGTCCCCAACCTGCAGTTAAAAACAGATCAATCCTCCCAAATGTAGGCGAGATGGTCTGTGAACCAACTATGTGCTCCTTTGTTTTCAGTCCAGCCTTGCGAAGTGACCTACCCAGAGCCATGTCTTCCTCTTTCACCTCAGTATCCTATCAGACAGGAAGGAAGGCTTGATGTTCACCTGTGCACCCAGGCAGATTAACTATTCCCCAAATAATCCCTTTCTGTTTGCCTCTGAATAAAAGCACACCAGGATTTCTGATTCCTGGATGACTTATTTGTTTTTTATGATTATAAAGCCCTGTGGTGTTTGTACAGTCTTAATTCCTGAATGTGACTAAACACACACACACACATGCACACACAAACACACACACACTCACACACACACAAATCTGAAAACCTCATGATCACTGATAAACAGGTTATTATTTCTGTGTAAATTTACATATGACAAAAGTCAGGAATGTTTTTTATTCTGAATGATACCATAAAGATCAATTTATAAAGTTAATGTTCTTTACCTTCTTCATTCTGCTTATAATAGTAATAAATATTATTTACTAAGTTTGCCATCATACTTGTTATTTTAACTTTATTTTACATTGTATTCTTTTAAGGATTTGTTTGTATTATATAGAGATGACTTAGAATCAGAGAAATATACCAGGAAGTTAACTGTCTTCAGTCTTAATTCTTATATTTAAATATACTGACAGCTGAGTGCCTGAGATCCACTGGTCTCGTTATAGTTATAGATGACATGAAGCAGAGCCGTAGATGTTAGGACATCAAGTGAAGTTTCCAGGTCAGTTCTAAGATTAGGGTCTTCTATCCAGCTCCTAGTTCATTGTCGATTTGGCTGTGTGAGTTTGCCTAACAGATAGCATTTAATACAGATATAAGGAGTATGTGTCATTTAAAGTTAGTTTTAAAAAGCAACAATACATCTTAACTTCTGATATCTTTTGCATTAAAAGTAGATTGCCTTTACTAATGGCTTATGTTTTAGAATCTAGATGTTTACATGTTGCTATTGTTTGATGATTCTCATAGGGCTTGATTTTATTTCTATTTAATATTTGGTTATTGTATTAATCCACATTGTATATTGTCATTATTTCAATTTATCTACTGAGTCCAGAGAACCTGATCTAAGCCTGTGAGCTTCTTGTGTTCTTGTCAAAAGCAGTGTCTAATGTTTTTATTTGTCCTCTGTTCCTTTGATGAAGAATGAGGAAGCAAAAACTGAACATCAGTAAATAATGTTCCTGGAAGTTTTATGCAGTGGAAACAATGAGATGCGTTCTCTGATGTGGCTTGTGTTTTATAATATCTCTTACAGTGCTACAGAAAATGATGCTTTCTTCTTCAAAATGTTTCCATGCTATAAGAATTCTCACAATTATGATCATATACACTTCTGCAACTATTACTTAATTTTAGGGTTTGGCTTGACTCTACCTTGAGTTTGTATAAGCATTGTTGAAACTAATATTAAGTAAATGGCTACTTAATTTAATCAAAAGATTAATTTAATCATATAACAATTAAAACATAGTAAGTATGAAATATTAAATACAGATTCTATTTATATTATTGACACACATAGTAAGATATAATAGGTGCTCAGAATGTTTCTAAACAGAAAGACTTCTACATTTCAATGGTAACTAAATGAAACTCAGTCATATTTAAAAACATCTTCCCATTGGTTCATCAGAGCAGTTCTGATCTTTCCATGGTTCATTAGAGTGGTGTCAGTCCTGATTGGTTTGCCACCTGTTCCTTGGTCTGTTGTGCTATGCTGACTTCAAATATTTAATTAAGATCTCTACTTAGGAGGTCTTCCAGGTGGAATCTAGCTATAAGTCAAAGCTGGAATATGTTTCCCAAAGCTACATAAAGATGTTCAAGGTCCAAGCTTTTTATTAATTTTTTGTAGATGTCATCTTCATGCTGATCATTCATGAAAATCTTTTTTGTATATGGTACTCAAAATATTTCAGCTTGTTTATAAAGTATTCATAAAATATATCAATTCCCCTTATTAGGAAAATGCATACTGGCTCTAGACAGACCTAAGATGAGAGCTAAGGTCAACCTTTAGAAGTGTGTCTTATATTTATTTTTTCATTCACTGTAATGAAACACTGCCCAAAAGTAACTTGGGGGAGAAAGGGCTTGTTTCAGTTTACAAGTCCCAGGTCACAATCTATCACTGAAGGAAGTCAGGGTAGGAATGTAAGGCAGGAACCCAGAGGAAGGGACTGAAACAGAGATGACAGAGGACACTGCTTACTGGCCGGCTTCCCTGGCTTGGTCAGGCACCACTCATATAGTTCAGGCCCAGCTGCCCAGGGATGGCACAGCCCACAGTAGGCTGTGCCCTCCTACATCAAATAAGAGTCAAGAAATTGCCCCCAGACAGGTCCACAGGCAAATCTGATGGGGGTAGTCCCTCAATTGATAGCCCCTTTTCCCAGATCTGCCTAGGTTTGTGTCATTGAAAAAGCTATGACAGGGAATATGAACCATGTTTGTTCTCTCTAGGCCTTGATATTATGTACCTGAAAATAGAACGCTTTTCAAATTATTACAAGACTCTAAGATTTCACACACACACACACATATATATATATATGTGTGTGAAATCTTAGTCTTGTATGATATACACGTAATTATATATACATATGTA